AGATAGTTGTATGTCATAGTTGCACATCCTTCTAGTTGCTGTATGTGGGACGCGGCCTCAGCATGGCCGGACAAGCGGTGCGTTGGTGCGCACCCGGGATCAGAACCCCGGGCGGCCACTAGCAGAGCGCGCACACTTAACCACTAAGCCACGGGGCCGGCCCCTGCTTTTAATTTTTTTCAATGCTGTTTTTATTATACCAAAGTTTAACATTTTTACGTAGGCTTATCTACTGAGCTTCCCATTATGATTTCTTTGGTTACTTTTTTGCTCAGGAAGATTTTCCCTATGCAAAGATGAGATAAATTCTAGCCAATATTTTTCTTCAGTATTTTGTTGCATTATTATTGTAATTAACTCTTTAATCTATCTGGAATTAGTTTTGGTGTATGATGTGCAACAAAGCTCTAAATTTATTTTCCCCAAAATAGCATGTTTTCTGAGTGCTATGTTGTTGTGTCTCCCGTCTATGTAATCTCTCCCCTCTGGGTGAGCCAGACCCTCCTTGGTGGCAGCCAGAGTAAAGGGAGGGCAATCAACGAAGCTAAGTGACCCAAGCCAGCTCACCAATGTCACCACGCCTGGAGAACGGGCTCTGTTTCCTAATCCGGGGGTTTTCCCCTAAATAGTGAAGGAGATCAGCGAGAAGAGGGGAGGGAAGAACATCTGCTTTCTTTACATTGACAGCAGCTATATCCCCAGAGAGACAGCAGGTCTACAGGCCCCAAGAAGCCCTCAAGACTGCAGGTGCAGCGTGATCTTGCTGATTTCCAATCCAGGTCCATCCCTTTCTGCTTTTCACTGTTCGCCCATCGCACAAATTGCCTCCCAGATTCCCCGCCAAACCGTGAGAGGAGCTGGTTGGATGAGTTGGTCTGCCTCTAATTACTGCTTACTTAATTTGATGGTGGATTTTAATCTCATTAACATGAGGAGGGGGCAAATAGGAGTGGTGCCTGCAGAGTTGGGCTTCAGCTCATACTCTGCAATTTGTCTTCTTTGCTTATCCCATCCTGTGGTTTCAAGAATGTAAAGGCTCAGCAGTGCCTCCTCCTTATCGTGTCAGTTTCTCCACGTATCTTACCTGGATATACTCACTTGATGCAAATATTTGGGTGGCATGTTTCGTTATACATCTGCACATCTTTCTTTTGTTCACATAAGCCTAAATAAAAACTTAGAATATTTTTGGTCACATCTCACTTCCTTCAAAGCTGTATAGATGTTACTGCATTGTTTTCTTGAGTTTACTGTTTTGGGAAAGTATCAAGGTACGTTATTTTCCTAAAAGCTTGCAGAAGCACTGCCCTCATGGAATTTATGGTCTAACAGAGAAGAAAATAAATTTTTTATTTGTGATGAAAAATGCAATATGCTATGTGAATTTAGTCTTATTTTTCATATTCTGTGTCATTTTCATGAGATTTGGGGAGGAGAAAATATAAACATATAGGCTGGGTCAACCATTGGGAAATGGAAGTCACCCAGTCTCCTCTGGTGTCAGAAAAGGGGCTAGGGACTAGTCCCCAGGAGGAAGAGGAAGATTCACTCTGGGATCTTGGCTCCACACAGACTAACCCTGGGCTAAGACCTTGGTCTAGAAATTCCTCCTGTTGGCTTTCACAGCTCAACTAGCTATCACTTCATGGTCACTCCAGGCAGCCAGATGCCTTCTCAGACGGCTCCACCCCCTTGGTGTGCAGAGAGGTCCCCTTCCTTTGTAGATGCATCTGCTGACTGACTTAAAGTTGTTGGGTCAACATTCCCAAGAACTCTGAATTTGATTAGTTTGGGGATAAACCTATCTGAAGCAGGGAATCTCACCGCTTTCTTTCTTTTCAGTCCCTTAATCCTAATGACACGGCTATGCTCATAACACTTCATAAATCTATGGCCACTGAAATATCCTCTCCTCATCTGCCAATAACTTCCCAAATGCACATTTTTCACGGAGCCTTTTCTTCGCCGAGCTCTTCGTTGCGCTCTTTAACAACGCATCACAGTTCACACTCAGCCAGGTCCTTGTGGGTTTGGTTGATGAGGCGGAGAGTTCCCCGTGCCTCAGGTTCCCCGGGTGTAAACATCGAGCTAATAGCATCTTTCCCACAGCTCTGCTGTGAGAATCAAATGAATGATGCACACGCACTTGGCCAAGACCTGGCTCAAAACCCACCGGTTTTACTATTACCTTCTACTTTAAATCTGAACATAAAAATCTTTATTTAAAAATTGTTTGCAAATTAAAGCCAGATATTGTGTCTTGCTACCAGAGAACCTCTCCTATTAACTCAGGCACCCCTCTCGATGCTCAGGGTTTCAGGCTATTCGAACAGTGTATATGGTGTATGTGCGTGCATAGATAAGCTTCTTATTTTTTTCACTCTATGTGTCTGGGTTTCTAGATTTCATTATCAAAGAGGCAGAACCCATCAGAGAACTTGATCAGCAGCCAGGCACGTTCTTTTCTTCTTCTTGTCCTTTGTCAGGTCTTTGTTCCGCCCCTGGCTACACTCTTAACAGAACCACTTACTGGTGATTAAAAGGAGGGGAGTCGGCGGCGGGGCGGGGCCTGCTGGGCGCGGGGCCCAGCGATTGGGTTCACCCCGGGGGGCTGCGCTGTCTTAAGTGCCAGCCGGCCGGCGTCAGCCGACCCCTGAGTCGGGGACCGACCCGCCGCGGAGACGTCAGCGGCGCGCAGCCGAGGCTTGGCACCGAGCCGCATTTGGCGGCTGCGGCCGGACAGACGGACGGGCGGCTGCGGCGACCGAAGGGCGGAGAGAGGCGCGCGCGGCGGGAGGGAACAGAAACCCGCAGCGCGGGCAGGAGCCGGACCTGCAGCCTCCCTCCGACAGCGCCATGGACGGCGCCGACAACGCAACCCTGCTCTTCGCCCTGTCCTCCCTGCAGCCGGACAACTACACCCTGTCGCCCAATGCCAGCAGCCTGAGCCCCGGCCCGGACTTCCCCGTCGCTCCTGCCTCGAGCGCCGGCCCCAGCCCTGGGCTCAGTCTCGGGCCGGGTCCCAGCGTGAGTTTCAGCCCCGGGCCCACGCCGACCCCGAAGCCGACGGCCAGCAGCTTCGCGGGTGGCGCGGCTGGCCTGGGCCCTTCCCCGTTTCCCCGGCCCGGGGTCCCCCACGAGCCCCCATTCTGGGACACGCCGCTGAACCACGGGCTGAACGTGTTCGTGGGCGCCGCCCTGTGCATCACCATGCTGGGGCTGGGCTGCACGGTGGACGTGAACCACTTCGGGGCGCACGTCCGCCGGCCCCTGGGCGCGCTGCTGGCCGCGCTCTGCCAGTTCGGCTTCCTGCCGCTGCTGGCCTTCTTGCTGGCCCTCGTCTTCTCGCTGAACGAGGTGGCCGCCGTGGCGGTGCTCCTGTGTGGCTGCTGTCCCGGCGGCAATCTCTCCAACCTTATGTCCCTGCTGGTTGACGGCGACATGAACCTCAGGTACGGAGCTGTCTGTTCCTTAGGCATCTTTCACATTCCAACCAACCGCGTTTACAGCCGCGGGCGAAGACGAAGGAGAGAGGAAGGCGAGGCGGTTGGAATGAGGCATGGAAGAGAGAACAAGGAAGTGGAGGAAGATGTTGACGCCTGGGCTTTAGAAGTGAAGGTAGACCCGAAGAGGTAGTATTGTAGGGGGAAGGATCTAGACGGGGACGGAGTAGCTCTAAGGGTCTTGAGGTTTCATCCACAGCTCTGGCAGCATCCTCCCTGAGTGTTGGACTGTCAGCGCAGGTCTCCGGCCACTGGAAGACAAAGGGAATTGGGAAGTCTGAAGCTAGGACTCTCAGGAAATGTAAAAGCAAAATAGAGCTCTTCTCCCCGCTAAATAGAGTCATCTCATACAGAGGACAATATAATTGAATTCATTCCAACAAGTAGTATTCAGCAGCTTTACCATGTCTAACAGGGTGCTTTGGAGGATTAAAAAAGAAAAGAAAGGAAAAAATGTTCCCTGCCCTCGGAATCATCCAGACTGTAGCCAGGTCAATAGGCTTTATAAAGTGGGGGCAGCAGTCCTGAGATTTTGTTTTCCCGCCTGGGGTTCATGTTTCCGTTGGGCTTAGAGGTGCTGCTCTCTTGCACTCCTCTCTGATGGAGGTAGGTTCTCCCCAGACTTCAAGCTGGGGGACTTGCGGTCTCCCCCTTTCCCAATACCCAGTGTACAAGAGAGAGGTTACCCAGTGTACAAGAGAGAGGTTACCCCATGTACAAGAGAGAGGTTACCCCATGTGCAAGAGAGGCTCTTTGGCTCAAAGCCCATCCTGACTTCTGTTCATTCGCTTTTCTGCAGCATCATCATGACCATCTCCTCCACACTTCTGGCCCTGGTCCTGATGCCCCTGTGCCTGTGGATCTACAGCCGGGCTTGGATCAACACCCCTCTGGTGCAATTACTACCCCTGGGGGCAATGACCCTGACGCTCTGTAGCACTCTCATCCCTATTGGGTTGGGCGTCTTCATTCGATACAAATTCAACCGGGTGGCTGACTACATTGTGAAGGTAAGGTCCCTCTTCCCTTTACATACTCTACATACCTAGAGAGTCCTGAGTCTCTGACCCATGGCTGAAATGCTAAGAAGTTTGGGAAAGGGAGAAAGGAAGAAAAGGACTTGTCAGCCTTGCATGGATAAACTTAAAGTTTATGCCACAAAGATAACTTCCACCTTTTGGAACTTCAGCAATTATAGCTTTTATGAAAACAGGTTGATTAAAAACAGCGTAAGAGAACTATCAGTACTCATAGGAGGAAACATATCATGGGGGAAAAAGATGACAGTGTGATTAAATGGCAACATATTTTTCACTAACAAATTGTGTATTACTAAAAATCAAAGCAGATTAAATAAAACTATTTTACTAGAATTTGAGCAGTATTTTATAAATGAATTACTAAATTTTTTAAAGTGGAACTCTAATTCTGAGAAACTCTGTGGAAGTTTCCCTTAAAATGTTTTATTAATTCTCTAAAAATAAGTTGACACTAATAAGACCAAAAGTAATTTAAAAATTACATCATGGCAATATAATATGATACACAAAATATTGGCTTTAAAGCACAAAATAAAATTGGGTCCTGGATAAATAATGCAGAATATATTGCCATCACTAAATGTAGGTTTCTTTTCCTTCCCCATTGCAGTGTTTCAAATGGCTTCTATAGCTAGTGAAAGGAGGGGGATTTCTATTATTTTGTGCAATATTTCCAATATTGTTTTATTTTTAAGAATGATGCTTTTTGTAGCAGTAGAGATTTTCCAATAGTTGACTGGAGAAAAATTTAAATATTTGTAAATTAGGCTTTCTTTGAAAACTCAAAAATTGTAGTAAATAAGAGTAAACCATGACTAGGATTTTCATCTTAGCAAGTTAGTCAAATTAAATATGTAACTAATTACTATAAAATGCACAAGCAGATTCCTTTAGACAAATGAAGAGAAAAAGAGCCTTCCAATATTTCAATTATGTAGATTTAGAAGACATAATCTTTTGTGTTTTACTTATACTAATTTATTTTCTAAAGTAATCTGATTATACAGAGGGGCTAGCTTTTATTAATATGAAAAATAGAGGATTCTTTTGTGCACATGTATCCAACCTTGAGTAAAAGAAATTGTGCTCTAGGGCTGGCCCCGTGGCTTAGCGGTTAAGTGCGCTCCGCTACTGGCGTCCAGGTTCTGATCCCGGGCGCGCACAGATGCACCACTTCTCTGGCCATGCTGAGGCCGCGTCCCACATACAGCAACTAGAAGGATGTGCAACTATGACGTACAACTGTCTACTGGGGCTTTGGGGGAAAAAAGGAGGAGGATTGGCAATCGATGTTAGCTCAGAGCCAGTCTTCCACAGCAAAAAGAGGAGGATTAGTATGGATGTTAGCTCAGGGCTGATCTTCCTCACAAAAAAAAAAAAAAAAAGAAATTGTGCTCTATAATAAATATATATATCTGAATGTAATAAATATACATGTACATGTAAATATATATATTATTTTTGTAATATAGTTATATATACATATATATGTATTATATGTGTAATATAGATAATCTTGAGATGCTTTAAGAAATTATTAAGCTTAATCGTTAAGCTAGTACTATTAATGTGATGGCATTTACTATAAAACTCTAGGAATTCTACAAGAAAGTCAATCAAATGAGCTATTTCCATGCTAAAAACAGATAAATATATTTAAGTAACAGACAATTCAATAAGACTGACTAATGGGGCTGGCCCAGTGGCATAGTGGTTAAGTTCCCAAGCTCGGTTTTGGAGGCCAGGGGTTTGCAGGTTTGGAACCCAGGCGTGGACTGACGCACTACTCATGAAGACATGCTATGGTGGCATCCCATATACAAAATAGAGAAAGATGGGCACAGATGTTAGCTCAGAGCTAATCTTCCTCAGCAAAAAGAGGAAGATTAGCAATGGATATTAGCTCAGAGCCAGTCTTCCTCACAAAAAAAATAAATAAATAAGACTGACTGAGTTTAAGGTAAACCTGTCGCTATTCCTTAACCAGCACACTAGTAAGATGTGGTTTATTATATTTTTATACTTTTGCAAATACTTTGAAATGAGCATTCAATGTCAAAGCTCACCCAAATGATTTAAAAAAATTCAAAGGAAACTTTGGAGCCAATATTTTCACAATGAAGAACCGTATTTCCTTTCAAAGCTTTTAATGTGGACACACTTTGAAGCTTCATATAAGAAAAGTTTTTATTTATAATGGTTTGGTTTCTGCCAATTGTACATTTGTAGCATGAGTACCTTATGTAATAATTATCTCAGCATCCTCTAGGGTAGACTTTTTAACTAGCCCAGATAAATTTTAAATAATTTTTTAAAGAGTATAAAGTATATGCCAATCCCACAGACCCCAAAGGGATTTTCTCCCAGATATCCAGGGATCCAGAAGCAACACAAACTGTTCTTCTGGATCTATAGTCTCCCTCACAAACACCCACTCCCTCCTTTTAAAAAACAAGCTAACTAGCAATCTGAAGGAGAAGTAGGAGAGGAATCTTTAGGTTTCCACCTTACTATTTACATAGCCTGTCTTACCTGAATGAGTGAAATGTACTAGTCAGACATCAAGATGATGCAATGTTTTATACAGTCAGTTGTTTTATATCTAAAATCCATCTATTATATATAATAATTCCTAAGCACCTAGCGACTTACAGGTGGGATGTTTCTCATCAACAGATAAAAAAGGACGAAGTTGCAAAATTGAAAAGAATTTCTCACGTCTTGCGTTTACATTTTTTCCTCTTACATAATCTAAGAGTTGTTAATTGTTTTGATATGGCTAACAATTCTGAGATGTAAAGTATTTTGAAGGTTAAAAACATTACACATTAAGTTTCATAAATTTTAGTAGCATTTTTATCTCGTGTAAAACCAGAACTAATTTCTTATGGGAAATGGGGTCCTGTTCGGGGAAAGTAATGTCCATTTGTCCACTCTATGCATCAGACCGTACCTGTTTCTAAGAGGCACATTCACAGATTAAAGGCATGTTCAGAACAGTCAGGACTCCAGAACAGAGTTATATGATGGAGGCTTAAAGCCTGGGGACAGTCTGCCTGGAGAAGAGTAGTCCTCCGCTCATAACTGTCGAAACCTTTTTGCAGGAGGAGGAGTATGGTCTATGTTGCTCCTGAGGGCCTATCCAAGGTTACAGAAGGCAAATTGTCACTAGACGTTAAGGACAGGCCTCCAAACAGAGCTGTCCGACATAGGTCTGGATGCCTCCTGAAGAGGTGATCTACCCATCTCCAGAAATACTCTGGCAGAGATCTCCATTCTGTGCGGGAGGTCAGACTAGATGGGTCTCTTCTTACAAGAGCCTAGGATTCTCTTGCCTGAATTCCTTGAACCATCTCCTTTTTGATGGTTTGTTTATCCATTTTCTATTGCTAGATATCCCTGTGGTCTCTGCTAGTGACGCTGGTGGTCCTTTTCATAATGACTGGCACTATGTTAGGACCTGAACTGCTGGCAAGCATTCCTGCAGCTGTTTACGTGGTAGCGATTTTTATGCCTTTGGCCGGATACGCCTCAGGCTACGGCTTAGCTACTCTCTTCCATCTTCCACCCAACTGCAAGAGGACGATATGCCTGGAAACAGGGAGCCAGAACGTGCAGCTCTGTACCGCCATTCTAAAACTGGCCTTTCCACCACGATTCATAGGGAGTATGTACATGTTTCCCTTGCTTTATGCCCTTTTCCAGTCTGCAGAAGCAGGGATTTTTGTTTTAATATATAAAATGTATGGAAGTGAAATATTGCACAAGCAAGATCCTCTAGATGAAGATGAAGATACAGATATTTCTTATAAGAAACTAAAAGAAGAGGAAATGACAGACACTTCGTATGGCACAGTGAAAGCAGATAATTTCATGATGATGGAAACCACTCAGACTTCTCTCTAAACATGGAGATACACAGAAGCTTCTATCTTGCTGAAATATCACTTCATATTTATGGTCTGTGGTAGTGTATATGGTTTACATAAAGGATAACAATTGGTTCACATTATACATGTAACAATTTTGATCTTCCCATTGTAAGATTGCATGGTATATTAACCAAACGTTTTCACAAATTACAAATCAATGTCGTAATATAACTTGCACCTGGGACTGCTGAAGTGAAGCCTAAAACTAAATGTTTTTTTTGTTTTTGGTTTTCACCATTACCAATTTCTATGACTGTTTCCAACATGTTAACTCTTAGAAAACAGGGTCTTGGAAATGTAGAATTTTGGTGTACTATCTTATATGAAAAAGACAAGCTATATTTGTAAAGCATAATTGAGTTTAATGTAATCGTTAAAAAAAAAAAGTGTGCTCGCTCCACTTGTAAACTTGACACTGTTGAATTTTGACCTGTATTCAGAAAAATCCCAAAACAGGTCAATTAAACAATGAAATATAGTATTTTATTGTCAAAGCTGTATCAAATCAAAGAAAAATTACATTAATGTATTTGATTACTTAATCTAGTATCTATTGGTAAAGAACAGCCAACATCTTCCCAGTGGACAAGCCATTTTCTTTTCAGTTGGGGACTGATTTGCTCTTCTGCTTTTATGTAAACACGCCTCAAATCAATTTATCTTTTGGAGGGATGATTTGGTTAGGAAAATTTGCAGAACTATCCACCTCAGAGAAGAGCAATAGTCATCAGTACCTCGTGGTACTCAACACTACCTCGTGGTCTCCATTGAGGTGGAGAGCGAGAGGGGCGAGAGGACGTTCTCCAGGGGAGAAAACAGTTAGCCTGACTAGATATGGACGAGTGCTTTCCCTATGACCTACTGAAAGGGTTCAATGGGTAGACTTCTCAGAGCAGCTCAGAGATAATTAAACTATAATCTGAGATCAGAGGTAACAGACCCAAAGCAGTTCCCCAAACATTCGCATTTTTGCTCACTAGCCAGAGGCACCCAGCCTCGCCTCAGCTTTCCAGGCTGCGCAGACACCTGGAATAATCAAGGTATGGGGACCACCTGGCTCAGCTAATCCCGGTGATAGTTCTCTTGTTGGAATCCTCTTCACCTCGGGCAAATTCACTTACAAATCAGTTCTTGCATCGCAAAGAAAGCTTCTTTCCAGATCATCTGAGGGCATTTGGGCCGACCTCCCGGTGCAGAAATTTTCCACACAGAGAAGATCGAGGAGGGGCCCCCTCGGCGGGGACGCGGGGACCCGAGCCGGTGGCGGGAAGGGTGCGGGGGGCGCGTAACGAGCGGCAGGGGGGCGGGCGCCTGGCTGCCTCCGCGAGGCCGCCTATTTAGGGCGCGGCGCCGGGCGGAGCAGCTGGGCTGCGCCTATGGCTGCCCTGGGGGACGAGGGGCTGGACGGCTACATGTACCCGGCGTGCGCCCGCTACTCGTACCCGTTCCCCTACCCGCCCGCCGCGAAGGGCAAGGGCACGGCGGGCGGGGGCGGCTGGCGGCACCGGGGCGGGGGCTGCCCACCCGCCTCCTCCTCCTCGTCCTCCTCCTCTGTCGGGGCGGCCTCGTCCGCTCTCCCGGGCTACGGGCAGCTGACGGCCGCCGACTACTTCGACAGCTACCAGCGGGCGCAGCTCATGGCCCTCCTGTCGCAGGTGAGCCCGGGCCTGGCCCCGCCGACGCGCAGGGCCAGCGGCCGCGACGTGGCCGTGCAGGTGAACCCGCGCCGCGACGCCTCGGTGCAGTGCTCGCTGGGGCGCCGCACGCTGCCGCGCAGGGCCCGCGACCCCGGCTCCCCCGCCGGCCCCGGCCCCGGCCCCGCATCCCCGCAGCCGGCCCGCCGGGGCCCCGAGCAGGGCAACCCTCCGAGCAGCGGCCCGCGGCCCGTGCGCTTCCCGCGCACCGTCGCCGTGTACTCGCCCGTGGCCTCCCGCCGCCTCACCACCCTCCTGGAAGGGGCCGGGACAGCGGTGGGAGAGCGAGGGCCGCCCCCTCCGAGGCCCCGAGGTCCCGAGGAGGAAGAGGTGTCGGCCAGGAAGGCGCCGCAACGGCCACAGTTGGAGGAGGAGGAGGACGAGGCCCAGGGCGCGGGGCAGCCGAGCTGGGAAGAGCCTGGCAACGGGCTGGGGCTGCCGCCGCGGGAGGCCCCGGGCGGGGAGGCGGCCCCAGGGCGCGCGCCGAGGAGCCTGGAGCAGGCCCCGCCGGGCGGAAGGGCCCAGGACGGCGCGGGCGAGAGGCCGTCACCACAGAGCCCCGAGCCGGCTAAGGAGCGCCTGCGCTTCCAGGTGAGTCCCGAGTCGGGCTGGGAAACGGGCCCGGGAGAGCCTGGGCGCGTGGGTCTCCTCCTGGTCCGCGGCCCTGTCCTCGCCCGGTCCCTGCTCCGGACGCGTGGAGGCGCCAGGCGGCCTTAGGCGCGGCCGCGTCGGTAGGCCTTTCCGCAGCTGCTGGCAGCCGCAGGTAGCGTCTCTCCCACAGTAGAATTAAATCGTGTAGCCTGTTGTTCGTGGCGGTTGTAAACAGCTTCACAAGTTGGCTGAAGAGACGCTCTCTTAACATCCTTATTCCGAGCATATCCGCAGTATAAGACTGACCGTGGGCATGGGTCCTGTGTTGATCCTGTGTTGTGGATGATTTAGGATGCGTGCGCAGCAGAACATCAGAAGGTGACCTTACTGACAGGAGAGTCGATTCCCAAGGATCCCACTTACGCTTTCGAATTCAATAGGGCAAAGCCGTAACAGTCGACTACTGCGGTCCTGGTCAGCTCTCCCCTGACTGACTTTTGCCCGCGTTTCCCAAGTTTCTACTGAAAGCTAGAGCTACTGAAGTGCCTCCCTTAGGATCTTCCCTTGCTCTCATAAAGCACCCCTGTTCAGAAACCTAATACTGCCTGAGCACTTGGGCTGTTGTGTGTTGCTGCCTGAGAGAGCAGCAGGCCTGGAGGCCAGTTCACACCTGCTGAACCCTACAGGGCAGGAGCCCGCTGAGGACAGTTGTAACCTGGGGAAGTGGAAAAGCTGAAAGGGAGAGGCCTGAAGGCCTTCGGGGTCCCTTCCACAGTCACCCCAGGGCTGTTTGGTTGGTGGGGGGGCGGAGAGCTAATCAAGCATTTTATACATAAGCTATATGTGATCTACGCCACGTGTGAAGTCTTAACCTTCCTGGACTTGAGTTCGCTCACCTGTGAAACTGCTCTAAATGCTCTCCCAAGTTCCTTCCCATTCTTAAAGGCCTAACTCCAAAAACTTGTTCATAACATGTCTCTCACTGAGAGGGAAGAAGAGAAGCTTAAGAATAAGGTAATATTACTTGAGTTTATGGTAAGCATGAATTACGGCTTATTCACAGCTGAAGCCTAGTGCTATTGTTTGGTGGAAATTTACCCAGCAGCGTAGAGAACATGATCTTGGGTGAAGAACTTAAAGTATTTTAGGATGTTGAGTCTTGTACCTTCAGCGTAACCACTTCCATATGTGTATGTTCTAGAATCAGACTTGATCCTACAGAGAAAAGGCCTCCCTTAAAGAATCTCAAAGGTCAGGAACCCTGGATATCTGGCTTTTCCCTTGCCTGTCTGAGGGAAACACCTACTTAGAAATTTGTCAATTTGCTTTGTGAACCAAATTAATGTGGCCTATTAACTTCTGTGGGCCCCATGCTTGCTTATCTGCTTGATTAAGCCATTAGCTCATCTAATTAGTCTCTACAACATAATAACTCAAATCTGATCCTACTTTCCTCCATGATCTGGAGTGACGTTGCCAGTTTTAAGTGTCAGATCTTTCCCAGCTTCTGAAACGAAGGATAATTTAGATGACGTGTTGGTTCAACTCGGGTCTCCCTTTGTTCAGTTCCTAGAGCAGAAGTATGGCTATTACCACTGCAAGGACTGCAACGTCCGCTGGGAGAGTGCCTACGTGTGGTGTGTGCAGGGCACTAACAAGGTGAGGACATGAACTCGCATCTTGTCGGACAGAAGGGTCAAGAGTGTCTTGCTTTAAGTCTTCCTCTCTCCCATCCCAGGTTTACTTCAAGCAGTTTTGCAGAACTTGTCAGAAGTCTTACAACCCTTACCGAGTGGAGGACATCACTTGTCAAGTAAATCAAATGCTTGCATTTTGTGCCTGAGCTAGGGAGTGGGAGAGGGTTTGGGGTAGTTTCTTGAACATGTTTCCTAAGAGAAGCCAGGTTCCTAGTGACCTGAGGTTTTGGTTGCTTTTTGGCAGGAGTTGTAGACATAATACTCGCTTGGGAAACGGGACCTCTGTGTTGGTTTCCTCCTCCCTTGCCAATCTTGGTTATGGTAACATCTTCAGAGACTATCTCACTTGCAATGTGAAAGAATGCTTGCCTTACCTGTGACTCAGTCTAATGGAAGAGAAAGCAAACCAAAAAATACCTGTCTACTAATGTGAGGTGGTAAAGGTTGACTATTTTACCTAAATGCATTTTATGAAGCACATACCTGAGTTAAAGTATTTAGTAGAAGCACGGGGTTTTAAAGTTTGTCTTGCCTGACAGTTTGCAAAGGGAATTTTTTTTAAAGAACATCTAAGTCGCCCAGCTTTATGGGGTAAACTGGTAACATGTTTACTACTAAGCTCTGCACTATGTTAAAGGGCTTAGATAATCTAAGAAGTGACTAAACTTGCCTGTTATCACAGCGAGTGGAGCCTGACTTGCCAGTTCACAGCCTAATCAGTGCCCTTGGCTCAAGTCGAACGTTGGAAGCGTTAACACTGTAGGAGGGGTGGAGAGAAATTTGACTGGCGGAGTAGGTTAAAGTTCTCGAGTAGGATGCCGTCACTGCTCTGCTCTTCGCTCAGCAGTTGCCGTGCTGCCGTCTGCCTCAGCTTGAGGTCATTTGCAGCACGTGGAGGGCCACGGTCACCCACTGATGCCAGGCCTCACCCACATTGGCCTCACACCTTAGCTTTCCTGGTCAAACTCCTCTCCCGCTTGTTTGTTCTCTACCCTTCAAGTGCAGGAAAAGATTTCCTCTTAGACAATTGTTTCAAAAGAAACTTCACAATTTGGAATTGAATCCTGTGCACATGGAAGCATGACCGCATGGATAAATACCCTCTATTCCTAACTATCATTACTAGGAAGGGATCCAGACAACAAGATTAGCTAGGGCCTTGCTTAGAGTGCATTCAGTAAGTATTCCAATGGATTAGAAAAATAACTTTGGAGTTCTGGGAAATCACCAAGGGTTTATCTTCTGCATGTACTTCTCATTTCGATTTTTCAGAGTTGTAAACAGACTAGATGCTCCTGCCCAGTAAAGCTTCGCCACGTTGACCCTAAAAGGCCCCATCGTCAAGATTTGTGTGGGAGATGCAAAGGCAAACGCCTGTCCTGTGACAGTACTTTCAGCTTCAAGTATATCATTTAAATGAATGTGTTTATTTAAAAAAAAAAAAAAAAACTGCTGGACGTGTGCTAGGGGAGCAGACAAGTGAGCTTTTTCCCTGC